TAAACAAGAATAACCAGGTTTAAATATGAAACCATTATATATTAAGGTTTAGTTTAGTATGAGGTGGTAAATAAGAATAACCAGGTTTAATTATGAAACCATTATATATTAAGGTTTAGTTTAATATGAGTTGGTAAACAAGAATAACCAGGTTTAATTATGCAATTATATATATTAAGGTTCAGTTTAGTATAAGGTGGTAAACAAGAATAACCAGGTTTAATTATGAAACCATTATATATTAAGGTTTAGTTTAGTATGAGGTGGTAAACAAGAATAACCAGGTTTAATTATGAAACCATTACATATTAAGGTTTGATTTGAATTTTGCACAAAGATACACAATAGGCTATATGTGCTAGCCAACCCTAATTTAGCAGTGAAAGACTAGAGGGAAGGCAGCTAGTCATCACCACCCACCACCAACACTTGGACTACTCTTTTACCAATGAATAGTTGGACTGACCATTATATTATAATGCTCCCATGGCTAAAAGCATGTTTGGTGGGACAGGGATTTGAGCCCACGATCCTCAGATTACGAGTCAAGCCCTAACCACTTAGCCATGCCAGGCCTATATATTAAGGAATGAAAGATTTATATAAAAGTATAAGGGGCATGAGATGCATCAATGTTAACAGTGCTGGCAAACAAGAGCAACAAAAAACAACAACATCCTCTTGGTAAGATTCTCTTGAATATTCCAGTCTCCATCTCTTTTCCATCCAATAATTTGTGAAAATAAAGCACTTAAAATTGTTTCAAATTTCAAATATTAATCAGCACTGTGAGTTGCAATAAATTGACTACTCATAGGATTACCAGCTTTGAGTTGGAATAAGCCATAAGAAATCAGTAAGAGAAGCCAGCTTCTGAAACTGAGATGAAGAGAGAAAAGGGCACATACATAAAAGCCAAGAAACCATGAAACAAAGATTAAAAGTGAATCTTTGCTGTTATAAACTAACCTCACAAAATAATTTTGACAGTAAGAAGCCAATCAAAATAACAATATATTACAGAAAATTGTGCTCCCTAAGCATATATACCTCAAAGTAATGACTCTCTGACACTTATCTGCTGATGAACCAGTGCAAACGACGAAAACCATCACATGTGACTGCAGACAACAAATGTGAAATTTTCTGCATTTTGGCTTCATGTGCATAGAGGTTGATCTTTCAAACCAATGAAGTTCAAAGTCTTTGAAATTCCAATATTAAAATTCAAGTAAATGCAAAAGTTTCACACAGAGTACCAGAATACTCTCTTTTCAAAAACTTGTTCTTGGCCCACACAAAAAACTGTCATTTATAAAGTAAATGAAATTTTACAACAATATCCACACCAATTCCAGACTACAGAACTGTTGTTTGGCTTGTCTCTCTCATCAGTAAGCCAAAAAGTGGACCTATACATGCCAAGTGCATTTTTGTTTTGTGAGTATCCCTGTACTGGGCACTTAAACAAACATCCTCCACTTCCACAGCACTCCAGATTGGGTTTTAGTCATTGTTGTGGGTTATGCCCACTACAGTGATGGCTGTGGTTCATCCATTAGTGCATATAGGATGGTTATGGTGGTTAGCTGCTCTTCTTTGAAGGCTCAGTGGTGGTGGACTTTCTAGGATCTTATAGACTGGCTCAATTGTGAATAGGACCTGATATATCTGGACTAACAGACATCTCAATCTCAAGTATGAGTTTCAGTATACTTTTCAATTGGTGGTGGTAGTTTTACTAGGCAAACTGATATGTTGCAAAGATGATGGCGAATGCCAACTGTTTATTCATGGTCAAACTTATCATCTCAAATGAGGTAGAACCTGTTACATGTAATTCCATCTTCTCCTTCACATCTCAACAATAATTAGAGCCAAAAGGATAGAACATGAAATTAAGTTAAAACTTGAAATGGATGTTAAATGCATTAGAAATTTGTTAATTCCACATGGAACCAGTGTACACACTACTGATTCTTCTAGAATGTTGACATTTTAGTAAGACCAATCAAGAGTTTGTGAACAATTGATGAAGAGCTTCTACACCATTTTTCTCGAAGACCTGTGTCAATATAGTTGGTTCAATCTCTAAGAAAAATGCTTAAGAATCTATAGTGGGTCTTTGCCAATGAGCTAAAATGATGCTGATCTTTAGATGGTAATCACTGTTTAATGTACTGATGCATAGCACCTTAAAGCATGTGTATATTTCTAATTGAACAATTATATGATAATTGCCATAACCAAAAAAATGTATCTGCCAATTTTGTTAATCACATTTTAGGACTTTCACATTAACTGCCAAACATTAAATACAAATCATCAAGGAAAAGATATTGTGAAGTGAAAAGGAGACACATCAAAGTATAACAACAAAGTTATCACTTTTTTTTCTCATTACAACCTTAATCCCAACTAGTTTGTGGTCAGCCAGTATTTTTGTAAGCCAAGAACTTTTATACCTAGGTGGCTGGTCCAGTTGGCAACTGTAAAGGACGAGCTTGTTGGGTAACGAGGATTCAAACTCATGACCTGCAGAGTGCAAGTCAAGCACCATAACCACCATGCCATGTTAGGCCCATCACTTTTACAAATCTACAAAAATCAACAAATGCAGTTATTGTACAGGAATACGCAAATCCTTGTCATGATTGCTTCACCTTTAGTATATTTCATTGGTAGTAAAACCTTCAAAACAGCATAAGTACTGTGCAAAATTGGTATTATGTTCTCTTGTAAAGGCACACGTTAAATATTAGTATTTGTCTGCCTTTTGTATCTATTTATAGCGTTTTCAAAGAGAAACAGTGATAATTAAATGAACACAACATTTGTATATTTAGGTAAAACCTGTACATATTACTAAACTGCCTAATCATTCTGGAGATGCTAACTCTTTGCACAAAGTCAATAGCAAATTAGTTTAAATGTAAGTAGCAGAGTGTCACATACTTAATACTCAGAATACCACAGAGTTTAAAATACGCACTACAGTGAAATTATAAAAAACCCAAAAATTTTCGCTTTTAAAAACTTGTTACCTAAAACAGATCGTCTAAATTAATGTTGCTCATTTCTATTATGTCACTAAAAATCAACCAGCTGAAAACCAGGTTAGAGCCTTATGTTTGCTAACATAAGCAATAAGGCCACTTGAATTTTGGGAAAATAACCCCACCTGTCATACCCTAACTACGAGTCTGAAGACTCAAAATTCTGAAAAGCTACAGGTTTCATTTTATTACGACTTTTTACTAAGTGTTAACGATTTTAAATTACTTTCCGATATAAACCTTTATTTTACGTTTTCAGAAAAAAAAGAAACTTCCTTGTGTAATTATATTATACTTCTAAATACCAACAATCCCCGTTTAATTCAAACCCTCAACTTCAGATAAACAACAGTTTATGAACACTGGTTTCTACGCTTCATCAAAGTAGCTATTTTGTACTTTTCGTGCTGATTTTGTTTTAATGTGAATTGAAAATCACTGAAAACTCATTACACAAACTTTTTTAATGTCAACATCCCTTCAAGTTACACTCACCGGAAAGTAGTTCAAGCTTACGAATGGTAGAGTGTAGAAGAAAACTGTGTTTAAAATGTAAATCATCAACCAATTTACAAGGACACTCAAATGTCACGCTAACGTTTCATTACGAAAAACTAGATGTATAAGAATTATTTCCATTATCGTAGAGTAAGCTAATTGGTACTTGAAGTTTTCAGATTAAAAATTGTACAGGTTGAGTAAATATTGTTTCAAAATCGCACCTGGCTTTCTTCGTGACACTAAACGTTAATGGGTTAAACTCCAGCCCTTGGGTCATAATGAAAATTGTAAATTCAATAACCAACAAGGACGTAACTGATTAACCCAAGTAGAGCACGGTACTTATTTTTTAGGTATGTTTCAGGGCGATGGTGTGATACAATTTCTCACAGTTACAACAGCTCTGCAATTGTGTGTCATTATCACAGTTTCTATATCATTATGAAGGACTACTGACGGTAAAAAAAAAGACTCAATACCCACTTTTTTTAGTAGAAAAATAAGATATTGCGGTTTTTATAACAGCATAAAATTGGTAATGTTGAACTGTACAAATAAAATTGGTTGGTTGTTTTAGACAGTCACGCAAAGTTAAACAAGGGATATCCGAGTTGATAGTTTCTAATTTTAAACTGACTGACTAGAGAGAAAGTCAGTAGTCAAGTGTATCCACTGCCAACTCTTGGGTGCCTACGGTCCTCAAGTGCAGGGAGCGAGTTTGTGGCAACGGGACAAGAACCATGCACTCTCTGATCCACAGTACGGTGCACTAGACACTAGTCCATCCGCAGTCCACAGTTATGGCCATAATAAAACAAAAAGTGGTACTTTCTCTCGTAAGAGAATATTTATTTATCCCTATACGAAAGAATAAAATAAAAACGTTTCGAATCATTTAATTCTTACCATAAACAATTCATGGGCATTCATGTTTTTCTGGATTTATTTAATAGATAACGTAGCAGAAACCTTATCCCTCATGCTATACCATAACAATTAAAGAAGCTGTGAATAAACGCGTCTTTCTCCTTCTGCAAAATGAACGTATAGTCTGAAGAGAAAAATGGTCTTACACCTACAATAGGCGTAATTATTTTATGAAGAATATGGAAACAAAGACTGCATTTTAGGAGTTGTATTAAAATATGCAGTCTTTTATGTGCCTTGGTTACGGATATTCCAAATCAATTTCAAATAACACGTCACTAATTACAACGGCCCCTGTAAAGTCAGTTTCTCGTCATTCTTTGGAATTGGAAAAGACATAGTCTTATCATAAATAAATAAAAAATAAAAAGCTTAACAACAGTGAAAGAAGGGTAAATAGGATTAGTACTTTCATTCGAAATGAAGCCTAAATTATAATTATTTTAAAATACAAACTTCTAAACTTATTCTATCTAAAAACTATCAATATGATCATGTATACTACACCATATTTACATTTTCCACTTAAAATGAAACTTTGCTGCTTTTCTGAAACACCTACATCTTAATCATTACAACACTTTTAGAATACGAATACATTTTTAAGATGTAAAAATAGCTACTCATTACTTTCCCTTATATATTAATAAAAGACAACTTCTGACTGTTTATCAATCACCATGTCGCGCCTCATTACGGGGCAATCTGAAAACTTCTATTGCTGGCCACTCATCTCAGGATTAGTCTAGGCGGAAAGTAACTAACTTATCTTACAGTCTCAGTGAAGTGAAATACATACGGATAACATCTCGCACATGCAGTCTAGGTTTCACAACGTATGACGGAAAACTTCCATTCGTCTGGGATTTTGCGCAGAGCTGCGATAGTTAAATGAAGCAACGGGAAAACAATCTAAAAGAACGTACGACAGCAGGTCTAGCAAAGGGGAAATTCGGTAACTCGTTTTAGGTATCACGTGACCTCCATGACATATCTTTACTAACATATCTAAAGTGCCATCAAGTTGGTTTTTTTTCTTCTTGTTTTTCACTACTAAGAGGGAGACTAAACAATGGATGGATATAGTAGTATTCATTTTGTGCACTAAAGTATCCCGTGTAAACCACGGAAGAAAAACTATAATGTAGATGTACCCTTGACAGCAGGTTTACGGATGAAATGACCGAGCTTACCGGAGACGAGATTATTCGACAGCCTTAACAACAGACCAGTCTAAATAGGAGGATTCAAATATGTACAACAGACGCACACACACACACACACACTGAAACAGACCCACACATACATACATACATGGGCAACTGTATCACCATGGTATGTACTAAGCTGACGTCACCAACGTTATCTGGCTGGTTGCCAAGAGCAGCGAGTAAGGAGTGACGTCAGAAGAAATCCCCCTACCCCCCAGTGATTAAACAGTGAGGATTGTGAAGAAAATACAGGTATCTACAACGTCGTCAAAGCAGCCAGAATCATTAACTTTGTAGTCTGGCTTATACCATTCCATGTCCATGCAAGGCTTTGATGTTGTTCCAAGAGGTTGAATACTAGACTTAAAAGTATATACGTGGTAATATAAATATTCTGAAAATCATGAAGAAACAGTTTATTTTCGGATATTCGCGCGATGTTATTCAAGGGCTGTCCCTAATTTTGAATTGATATACTAAAAGAAAGGCACATGGTCAACACCATCCATCACCAACTTTTGTCTGATCAAATAGTGGTATTTTACTGTCACCCTTATAACTCACCAACTGCCCCAAAGTACGGATTGCATTTTTTTTTTCCTTTTCGGTAATAGGACGCGAACATAGGATCCTCCATCCATATAGTCTGGCACGCTAACCACTGGGCCACGCTCAACCCTCATTAAGAAATGACATTAAAGAAATGTTCACTCACGCTGCCACTATAAATTTTATTTATTTATTATTATTTATTTATTATTATTTATTTCTTTGTTACAAAGTTTTTGTTCATTTTTATATCTTAAACTTCGGATGATTTCCCGACTTTAAGTACTTTAATAACAGCTCTAACCTTGACCTTCGATTTACAATCTATTCATCACCAAAAGTGCATGGATTCTGATAACACTCCTCTATACACTAATACTTTGACCCAAGTTCTACAGCTACTTTATATAACTATTCTAAATACAAACAAAAAATACGGCAACAATGAAATCCGTTTCTCTACAGACTAGTATGGCAAGCCAATAACAGTAATCAATCACAAATTATGGATTTAACAACTTTTGTGAAACTTTCTATTATATTTAATTATGTAAACGTTTATTTTTTAATTCATCTACTTAAAAATAATTCTTACTTATGAATATATGTAAGTACATACAATTAGTGGGTTGTTTCTGAACTTTTGCACAAAGCTACACAAGGGCTATCTGCGCATAGTCATTCCCAATTTTCAATTGATAGACTACAGAGGGAGGGGAAGATAGTCAACAGCACCAACCGCCAACCTTTGGGAAACTTGCCTGACCGAATAATGAGATTTGACCGTCACTCATATAGCGCACTAACAACCTCAAAGTTATGAATGCGATTTTGTTGAAACTGGCCATGAACTAGGAACCCTCGGATTAACAGTCCAAGCACGCTAACCAACCACTAAGACACACCAAGCCCAAATTACAATTGAAAAAGGAAGTATTCAGAATGAAACGATATGATTTCACAGAAATGTTCTAATTTTAACATGATATCCTGAAGTTAACAAGCATTTAACACTTACGACGTTGTCCTTTTAGAGTGTTTGTTTGTTTGTTTTTGAATTTCGCGCAAAGCTACACGAGGGCTATCTGCG